GGTGGTCCTTCAAAACCTGGGGCCCATCCGCAGAGGCTGAACCCTGTTCTGAGATTTCTCACAAGAAGCCATGCAGTAAGGTGGCGCGGCACCGGAGTGGAAGATGTCGCAGGGGTGCAGAAGTCAGCCCAGTCTTCACCAACCTCAATCTCTAGCTGTCGTTCAGGACGTGCTTTCACCGCACCGACCATCCAACCTCTACATCACTAAGCCTTGAGCTGTCTGTGCAGCCGGCGCGGTTCTGTCAGAGTGCAAAGATTCGCTTCAGCTTAATGGGGGTAGCGCTGGCACACCCTTATTGATCGCGTGTCCCGCGCAAACCCAACTTTTGTTGGCCTGGCTGGCTCCTCAGCATCCATATCCAGTAGGTCAATGTTTGAAGGGGGAGCCTCCCACACAAACACGTGTAGAAGCGAAGAATCAAAACAGCACAAGCATCTTCCAGTCCCCACCTTGCTGCCAGAACCTCTTCCAACACCTGCCAAGTGCGGCTTCAAATTTTAACACCCCTCATGTGTGAGTACATGGAATGCACGGTGAGCTGGAGAACCGGCTTCTGTCAGAGTCAGAGTCGTTGTCCTCTCCACTGAAAACCAGTGGCAAGGGTGCTGTGACAAAAAAAACAGCTGTGATCTCCGCCTCTCCTGCTGCAAAGCAAAGCTCGGATCAAACAGTCCATATTTGTCTTCCTTGGGGCGAGCATCTTCCTGCCGTATCGAATAATCACATCAATGATGACGAAGTCTGTGAGGGCCAACGCCCCATAAAACCTCTTGCACCCACGGGCGTTCAATGACATGCCCGTGCTGGGTTCGTGTCCTCATCCCTTCTTGGTGAAGGCGAATTTTTCCCATCCTCAGAGAGGCAACCCACTGTCGCGGAGAAATGATCTTTTTTAAGACAAAAAGCCGCGCATACTCTGTGGGGATCAGGCACTTTTACTATATAAGCGCTCTTGGATAATCAAAGTGCCTCGAATCTGTTGACATTCTCTCGCGCAGCTCTCTCTGCCATCTGCTCCTCCTTCAGCCTCCACGAAGCTTCATGGTATGGTGAAACTGTGCGAATACCGCAACCACATCACAGATGCAAATGCGAAAGGCTGTGTGTACCTACAATTGACACTTGCAGTTCTTGGGATCAGCGGGATCACTCCAATCGCCCACGCCCACGCCTATTGAAGCGCCGTTCCAGGTCAGCGGCCTGAGACGCAGACAAGCTGCGAGAGTCGCCCACGCCGGGTCGGAACCTGGAGCAGAGCTGTGCGTAGCTGCCCGGGAGAAGAGCTGGACACCAACAGCGTCCATCGTCTTTATATGTCTGTCTGGATGCCAACCTTCACTCGTCACATCCTTTTTGATCAGGGTGGAGCAGTTAAATGCTTATGGGACTAGGATGTGTACCCCAAAATAGTTCAATCTACGTGCGTCTCTCTCCCGCATTGAAACCACTACTTTTCGTGTAAGGCTGTGTAAGGCATATATAAATGCACTCGTTCAGAGCCAGCCACTCGTTCATGGCTTCATTCAGCGCACTGCTGAGAACAGAAGAAGCGCTGCTGGAGGCTGCTTGCGATGGACTTTTTCGACCTGGAACGAGCAAAATTTGAGACATGTCAATGTCAGCACTTCTGGAATCCACTCCTTTGTCTTCACTCTGTGTCAGTCAGGACTGGTTGGACAGGCCAACTCGGGCTTGCAAGTAGAAATTCCAACCTCCTCCGATTGCAGTAGGTCCAGCTCCAGTCAGCTTGGTATGGTGCAGCTTGGCCTGCGATGAGGACTTCGCCCTGCAACTACCAAGTGATTTGCACGACTTGCCCCAAGTAGTGAGAGTAGGGCCTGCTCCCTCTCCGATTTTAGAAATTCCTGCCCCAGACGCTGTGCCGTAAACAAGGCATAACGGCCCATCACCTGTTCGCCTTTTGATCGTCTCTGGTACGCTTACTCATATTCTGTGTAAGGTCCTTGTCATTAAGCAGCTTGACCAACGTATCAGCCTTAGTTTGCTGGAACTCTGAGTCATTGGCCAGGCTGACGCAGGCTCGACCAGTGATGACTCAGCTTCCCACTTTTTCACGAACCCCACTGCCTCGACCAAACGAGCCCTGCTGAGTCTCCAAATGCACTGTTTACGATTGTTTGCTTTGTTAGGTTTGATGATTCGTATGGTTGGTCGTGCCAGGCCAACTTCGAAAGCGTGAAATCACTACATGGTTTGTTGGGCAAGCCACTTGGCTTGGGAAGGACTGAACACACAAAAATAAACTGGAAAAAAAGGAGGGATTGCTAGAAGTTGCCATTGCTGCCATTCTTTTGCATACAAGCGACAAGCGACAGAAGAGCAACCATATATATAAAGGAATGAATTGAAAAACCAATAGGAAACGCAAGTGGCGGTGGCTCGATTCAACCAAAACAGGGTAGAACCAACTATATAAATGAAAAACAATAAACAAATTAACTCTGGGAAGACATTTAGTTACAGTGTTCCAACTCCCCAAACAACTCAAGGATTTAGAGAGAATTCCGCAGTATCTAACAGGGTGCCCTTGCTGTAGGATGTGGTCATTTCAAATCATTTCTTCCAGATGAGCGACCGGCAAAACCTCCCAGCAAACTGGGTTCCACTTTGACAAGGTTATCGATTTTGGTAGTTCACCATATCGTTTTTCAGGGTTTGGTATAATCCTGTTTGACTTCGCACATGCGCGTGAGGGTTCTGTCACAACCACAAGCTGAGTCTAGCAGCTGCCAAAAGACACCCGGATGAGTGCCATTGTTCTTTTGAAAGCCTAGAAGATAACCAAACTCAAACAAAGAACATGAACAGTAACAATGGAACAAGGTCTGATAGTTCAGAGTATCGTTTTTGGTAGTTCGCTATATCGTTTTACATGGTTTGGAGACACTCACATCATATAGTTCGCTATATCGTTTTACAGGGCATAGGCAACTCACATCATAAAGTGGAACCTCGAAGATCAAGCACTTACATGAACTGTTTCGCCTCTAGCTCAGATGGATGGTAGTGCTGTTTGGCCTCTATACTGTGGCTGGCGCTGCTTGTGCCATCGATTTCCCTTTTGCTTGATGTGCACATTGCTGAACTAAACTTTATACTTCAGAATTGCTGCACTGCACTGATATGTCATTTCAGGATGTGGTCACGAACACATGGGAAAATCTGCCTCTGTCCGTGCCATCCTCTCGACACTGGAAGTTGGCCAAGCGCCGGAACATGAGCTGCTCTCCCCGCCTGTGCGGGTCAGAGTGGAAAGAGCTCGCCCAGGGGTCAGTTCGTGTGACTTGTTGAGCTCCGTGCAGTTCGTCTGCGATGTTCTCCCCACCATTTTTGATCAAATACTCAAGCCTTGTTCCGACCCAAAAGCTGTCGAAGCCAGGGATCAAGCATCAGGCATCGACAGGCTTAATGCAATGACGGTGTGATTTGAGCAGCTGAGGCCGGGTGCATGATAAGTGTCTTGAGAATTCTGCGCCACCTCAAGCGCTGGCACTCAAGTCCAAGCTTTCAAGGATGCGATTAATGTTGAGGAAACTCTTGCAGAACGCAATGTTCTCAAAGGCCCCAGCTTTTCTTGGTTGCCATTAAGGTTCTCGACTGCACGTGTCATGATTTTCCTCGGAAGCCCCAGTAATAAATTGAACATTTGTCAGCCAGGAAAACATAAACTTTCTCTAAGAGAGCAACTGGCGATACTTGTAGGTCTGCGCATCAAGAGCAAGCTCATGGAGGACCTGAAGTGTGGAAGATGAACGCCAAACAAAACATCCGAGTTAGCAAAAGCTTGAGGTCAAGGCATGCACAGTGCGAGATAAAGCTAGCTAGAGGTTGTAAAGGAGCAAATAGCGCACTTGTTTCTAGTCTTTGCGGAGACACCCAAAATCGCAAAGGCTCTTGTTGCACCTGTGCTAGAACCCCAGGTCTAGTGCCGTCCGAATGCACACCCGCCAGAATCCTAGCTTTCCTGATGAATCGCTATGTCAACACGATGCTCTTGTGCTCTTGAGAAAGGCTTAAGTGCCGAAAGTCAAATGCTGGTGATACTGCCTAATACCTGTGGCAGTTTCAGCATCCCATTTCAATCACCGAGACCGCAATGATTCATGCAATTCCTTCAGTGTGAAGGCAGTTAAGGGCAGGGCACTGTTTGGGCAACCCCACCGCTTGTTGGAGGTTGCCTTCCCCAGAGCGACACATCAAACTAGCCTATGTCAAGAGACTCTTCGGGACTCAAAGCTGAGTCGAATGCCTCGCGCAAATTGCGCTCCTGAGTGTCAACATGCGTCACGATCACTGAGTTCTGGACCCATGCTTTGCGGAACGATGTATCCAAATAAGTCTCAACAAAACTAGAAAGTTGAACCAGGGCAAGTGTCAAAAGGTGTCTCAAGCTCCGCAACTGCTTTCGCTTGTCTTTTGATCCTCAGTCCGTAGGCTCATGACTCATAACATATGCCTCAAGTTCGGGACAAAGCTGAGTACATTGCTTGATTGCCTCATGTTTCAACTTGCCGTACCTCGTATTCAGACACCATTTTTGGGGGGCAGATAATCCAGGTCACACGAGAACAGCACTCGGAAATGCGAGATTCATGGCTACCACTGAGCAAGCGGCCACTTGTCAAGCGCCTTTTCCATGTGGAAAGGCAAGGACGTTCGTGGTGTATCCACCTTGAACGCCTCTGTGCTTTGAGCCGGTCATTTGCATCGCACTTGCGTGCGTGGGGGATCTGGGGACATCCTGTCTCAAAGCCACCATGAGCAGTCAAAACAATCTGCAGCCTGCATCTGGCGATTGGCCATGATCGAGTCAAAAGCAAGACTTTTTCCGTGAAAAGCTGTCACCAGTGAAACATCCTCGTGCCATTCGGCAGAGCGATTGGGTTGGGACTACATACCAGCAACATGAAGCAAATCTTGCTGGCATGTACTGATCGGAGAATTATTCAAGCCAATAAGAGCCAACGCCCTCCAACTCACTTCCCGTAGAGGCTCACACCCCATGCCTGTCAAACGTCTAGCACGGAATCGTACGATCAAGCAAGGCTGTCTGCAAAATCTACAAGCCTTGCTGTAAGCATCTGCAAACTTGGCAACATCTGAGTTGCTCAGTGGTTTGTACCTGAAAATGTTGAAATGTGAGGTTGTCAAGGTGCTTGAAGGTGCTTGAGGGTGCTTCAGCCAAGTAAATTAGGCTGGGACCAGTGGTTCGAGGGGCAATTTAGGAAACGACCTCAATGAACCCAAAAGCAGGAGTAGTTTGCGTGACTGACATGGCTGAGCATGTATGGCCCATAAGGCCGTATGGCTGTTCAAAGCCCATCGCGGCTTCTATCCATCGCTTTTCCCAAGGCCGCTTCCTGCGCTATGAACCTTCCAAAGAGGCAGCGGTACAGCATCAACATGAGGCCTTGCTGCTGTGCACCTTTCTGAATCCGGCAAATCCTGTAGGTTGGGCCTTGGGAAGAAAACAAAATTTCCAAATTCATTGGTTGAACAAGTCCTGAGAGATTGGCATGGATCCTCCTCGCCGCATCTGATTCTCACCAGCGCGCGTTAGCTTCCGCGACCTCCAGCCCACGTTTCCTTCCAAAAGAAGCCGCCTACGCTTACCATACTCACCTTGTACGGCTTGAAGGTGACTTGGACGGTGGATTCACAGTCTCCTCGCAAGAGAGTGAAGGAAGAACTGTAAAGTTAGATGCCCAAGGATCCGGCAGGCCAAACAGCACAAGGAATGCTTATTGCATAAGGCCTCACACCGTGACTGGGCTTATGCCATGCCAGATGGCTCCAGATCTTGGGCTTATGCGGCACTCCAAGCTCTTCTCTGACGTTACCATCCTCTCGCAGCAGCAAGATGAGTGCTTTCTGCAAGAGTCCCACAGTCCCACAATTTTCATGGAGCCCATGGCAAGAAAAGGCAGCAAGCCTACAAAGTTGAAGCATCTCAAGTTGGTGCAGCTCCTTTGACTTTCTTGTTTTGGGGCACTCAGGGTCCACCTGCAACGCCTTGACAATCAAGTCACAAAAAGGTGACCAAAAAGGCTGCAAGTCTTCGCATGGTAGAGCCAAGATCCCTACAGCCAAATCGGCGTCATTGGCCCTAGCAGCTGCTAACTTGTTGATGGGCCCTCCGTGCCCATCCTGTGCTCGAAAATCAGCCGCAACCAGAGTCTCTACACCACTTTTGCAAGTTGCACCCTAGCTTTGGCGGCATGCTCTCCCTCTCTCTCTCTCTGTCTTTGTGTTTCTGTCCACGTTTTCTCCTTCTCAGGATCCCAGTCCTTCATCAACCATCCTACTCCAAGACGTGTTGGCCTAAAAGAATGCAAACAGCGTATGGCACATGACAGGGAACATGAAACATAATGTGAAGAATTGAATGTGTGGGAAGTTTGGGATCTGGGTGTCTGGCTTGCTCCCTGCTGGTTCGCTTCGATGAGCAAGCTTACCACAATTGCCCTGGCAAAATTAAAATGAAGAGAAACACGAGCACGCTTCAGCTGCAAGAGCATTCGCAAAAAAAACTACCACGCCTGGATCCAGCCAATCTCCTGCTGACAAGTCTCTGGAAACCTCAGGTGGTGGATAACTGGGCGAGCGGCCCAAGTGTTGGACACCCTGTGCCCTGAACAAATGCCGCTCGCGCGGGACAGCCTTGGAAACCAGTGTCGTGGCTGCTGCAGTTGATGGTGGTTAATGTGCATGGCTGACGCTGACCCTCTGAGTGTCGCTGGCCGTGTGTTGGTTCATGCAGCGACGAAACTCCTTGGTCACTGGGCCTGTGGGATCCCAACCTCGCACGCCACAGGTTTTCTTGACAAATCTCTTAGATTCCTTCGGAACTTGTTTAAGCTCGCAAAAAAGGTATTGCACTAGCAAACAGACAGGTTCTTCAGGAATTTGACGGGTCTGAGGCAACAACCTAAAGTAGCCGGATTGAAGCCACCACCTCAAGATCTAAAGACTTGATGCCAGCGGGGCTACCATCCAATCTTGGTTTAAAGACCCCGCGATCAGCAAACGCAACAGCCAGCTTCCTGTTAGCTTGTGTTGGTCTTTTTTATGCCCTACCGTAATGAAGGCGACCTGCTTTTTAAGGTTAGGTCTCTGGGCGGCTTTTGTTCATCAACCAAGCAGATTGGGCCTTTCGTCCAGCCCCTGGTCAGGTTCTAGAATGGCAGCCGCAGCAGCTATATGAGGCTGCAACGGGAGGGTGGGGAAGTTGATCCAATAGCAACACTCCCGCTCACAAGCCGCAAGCCTTCAGCCATTGAGGCTTTACGCACATTGCGCGCGAAATAGTTTCACGCTGCCCTTGGTCAGAGGAATTGCAATTCATGGACCAAATGGTTAAGAGGGAACTGAAAGTGTAGATTGTCCGGGACTCTGGATTGTTGATCAGGCTGGCAGTCATTACGTTAAATCACCGGCTTCGTGGAAGCCGTGCTTTGTGTGAAAAAAAGAACTTTCCCTCCACGTGTATCAGCACGGTGCGCAAGTCCAGTGAATGTCTAGCCGACTCCTCGTTTAGATCCGCTCTTGCAAGCGCTGTGGGCTGCAATTGCTGGAAACAACCGTCATGGCAAATGCATTTGCAATCGTCTCGATTGTCCGACGAGTTCATCACCAAGGATCCATCACCAGTATGTCGCGCTTGAGTGGACCTCTGACAAAGAGTTCCGCAAACAATCCTTGGTTGGATCCTGTGGCCTGTGAAGCCTTTGGTGGTGCATTTTCGCTGCGTCGGATAGTGTTGTTGATTTGCATAGTCGGCATCTGATTGGCCGTTTCCTTGGTTCCGTTTCCTAGTGTTTTTGCTTTCCTTCCTTTCCTCTTGCCAATACGGTTCCCTGATTGAGTTATCAAGCTTGTTCAAGCTGCTCCGACAAGCCCCCGGTTTCTTCAGCCACCGTCCACGCATTCTTCCACGCACTCAGCAAAGTAATGTTCACCAGCATGCTGTCCATAGTGCCCATCAGCAAATGTTGTTTTTTTTCCCTTTCTGCTCTGGAGAATCTTTGGTTTGATTGTCTTTCCTTTTCTTCTACCTTTGCCCTTGTTTTGTCTGGCCCTTGCTGGCAATCTTTTCCAGAACTGTGTTCCCCCTGCGGCTTCATAACTCAAAGACATCGTCTATAAAGTCTAAAGCACCCACAAATCCTTTAGCGCAATCTTTTCATCTTCTGCCCCGTAGCCAAAATCGCTGGCCATATCACCTCCATCCACAACTAAGAGCCATTGTGTCACACCGTGTAGAAGGCCCATCCAACTGCTCATAGGCTGTTGATTCCTGCATCTGGTGAACTTCATGAACTGTAGGCACCTGTAGAGGATGACGTTCGATGCCCCTTTCCAGATATATGTTTTTGCAAAATGCTCCTGGGGTATTGCCCGCCTACCAATGGTACTACCAATGGTGGGTCACTTGCCTTCCTCTATCCGAGAATTTGTATATACACTGCTTCTTTGCTCTGTGACTGGTTAAGTTAAGTAGTGCCGGTCCCATTTCACTTCTTTTAGTCCTAGTCCTAGTCCTGGCCCTGTGACGCCCCACCCGATCGTCCGTACTACCCCCGAAGGCAAACAACGATTGCTTCCCGTCATCGCCCGGGAATGGCTCCCTTTCCACATGTCCAATGACAAGTGCTTGTGGCTCGTAGGCCAAACCGTATCAGGCTCTTCCAGGGTCACCGATCACTGCTCCGCTACCACTGAAAGAGTGACACCAGCATGAGGCCTTGGAGACCTAGACTTGTCGTGCCTTTTATCCACAATGGGAAGCAGGATGCCTGTTCTTGCGCCTCAACCTACCGGATGCTTTTAGTGGTTTGCCATAGTTTGCCAGCAAAGTCACTCAATTCTTCAACTCAAAATGCCTCAGCTGCTGACCTGAAGCTTCTCGCGGGTCCATGTGGCCAGGCCTTCCGCTTAGAGGCATCTGAAGTATGCTGTTGCAATTGCTCGTCTGATTACATGCAATCGTGCACCAACCCTGACAGTGTCCAACTGCCACCGCAAAAGGGCCAGGAGCATCAGCACAGACCCCTAAAGAACTTAGATTAATATTGACCCACCAGGTTCCCTGCTTGAATTTGCGCGGCACATCTGGCACCTCGACTGACCGAGCTGCGCCGGCGGACATCTGTGGACCAAACGACATGGCTGGACATGGCTAAGGAGTGGGCACTCACAGCTGCGCGAACGCTGAAACCATCAGGCCGAGATCTTGCATTGATTTCCTCTTTGTGAATCCTGATTGCATGGTTGCACAGCAGAGCGGGGCACACAAAGTGACCCGATGCACAAGAGATTCAAAGCGGTCCTCTGTGTCCATAGGATATGATCTGCTGCTGTCAGGCCCGGGCCACCAGGCATACTTGGCACACTGTCATGCCCAAACTATGCACAGGTCACAGTAGAGAATTTCTGAGCCAAGAAATCCAGGGTTTAGAATCACAACTTGTATGACGGAAACCATGCAGCAAACATAATCGCTCCACGTGCACGCGAACTTTCAAACTTCCAGGTGCTGCCACATTCTTTCCGACACGGACGCCAGGACAAGCCGTGTATCCCTTCAACCAGGAGACCACGGGACCGGACCAGGACCAAAGGACCAGGGGGCCAAAGGGCCTGTGGACCAGAGAAATAGGAACCAAAGGACAAAAGGACCAAGGGACCAGGGCACCAAAGGACCAGTGGACCAGCGGACTAAAGGACCAGAGGACCAGAGGACTCGCAGACCACAGGGCCAGGAGAGCAGCAGAAGAGGCCTATCCAGGAATATTCTTGTTTGATAGTCATTTTTGTTTTTTTGATCATCTTTTTTGTTTGAGGATCTTTTTACTTTTTTTGATCTAGATGCCTCAGTCAATGCCATGGAGCGGCACCTGCCTTTTTGGGATGTGCTGCCCAATCCTGGATGGATGACAAAGGAACCCATCGACGAAGTGTGACTGGTACAATTTGCCGTGTTTGAGCAGCCTTCTCTCCATGTGCAGGTTCATGGTCTTGTTGTCAAATTGCTATTTTCATAGTAGAGTTGCGAACCATGCCTCCCCCTCTCTGGAACCCAAGAGCTTTGCAGCACGCACAGCAGCCAGCAGCCACGGCTTCCAACCACCACACGTTTTCATTCAAATGATTCAATCTACGCAAGCCACGTGCTCTCGGTCGGCATTGATTTTTTCACGTCGTCACGTCGGTTGGAAGGTCACTGGCGCTCCTGACAGGTCACACATCAGTCGGTTGGAGGTAGATGGGGTGACAGAGCGGCCAAAGAGTATAGCCTTGTCAGTATCACAACATTGTTCCACACGGTGACAGTGGACCCCAGGTCAATCGTTCTTCCCACAATCCTGCCTGAGCATCTGTTACAGTTTAAGATGGGAGAAATCTAGAGGAGGAGTGGTTTAACGTCTTCAAACATCAATTTAACATCCACGTGGACCGGATGGACTCCGCCAGCTTGTCCTGCAAGTGCCAAGTAACGTGCCGCGAAATGCATCTGTACCTGCATGCTACAGATTCGAAAGCCCCCCGCTCAAATGCAAAAGTCCCGTGCTCACACCCTAGGTGGATCTTCTCATGTCTCATTGTTCATATTCATATGATATTATGATAGTAGGAGAGACCAATCACGAAAGGACTAGCAGTTAGCACCCTGCTTGAATCAGAACCCGCAGCTTCGTTGTGTGAGAGGAATCTTAGTCTCCAGCAGCTTGAAAGCGTCCCTTGGAAATTGGAGTGCAAGTTGGAAAAATCCAAGACGAGAAGTTGCCTCGACGGCTGCGTGGGAATCATCAGAACCGAAGCGAAGCAACGGTGACATGTCATGCACCGAAGACGTTCTCCAGGTGCTCAGGAAGATGCTCACATGCGAGGATAGTGATGGCTTTGCATGGCTCTGCTCCAGTGTGAGCTTGCAAGTGAGTTCCTCTTTCAGTGTACCTGATGCAGCTTGCATCTGGAGTGTCCGGAGAAAAGCTTGACTCTAAATTGCTCTAAATCTCTCTAACTCCTCCAAGCTGCCAGACATCACGTCTAGGGCCTCGGCTCTTCACGGTCCACCGAATAACACACCCCTCGGCTGCACAGCACCCTGAGCTCGGCACCCTGAGTGGCTCCAAGTGACCTCAGGCCGCACGGGGTGACCGGCCTGGCCTGATGGCCTGGTGGTGCCCTCCTTCACTCCGATTCACTCCAAGGGACCCATCACTTCTCCTCGTGCATTCACAAGGCTGAGGTGGATGACGGAGGTGTCTGGCTCACTGACCTAGGGTGGCCAGGTAGACATGGATAAATCAAGAACTCATCAGGGCAGAATCAAAGAGCTACGTAAGTCCAACGAAGAACTAGCATCATGTTTATGACGTCATGAACATCCTCAAACCTCCCCGAACAAGGTCTTGCAACTGTAATGCTATACTTCCACACTCAGTGCCCATGCGCTTAACTTGAATCAAGATGACTAAAACGGCCAAGGTCTCATACCAGGAAAGTTCCATGCATTGCACCTCGCCATGCTCCAGCTTCCGCTGGGCTTCGCTTTCCACATGCTTTGACTTTGCCATCAAATAGTGTTCAACCTGAACTGCATACAATCACAATACCAAGCAATTCCCACCTTCAAGCCTTCCCTCATCATTCCTTCAACACATCTTCCACTTTAAGCATTGCCCACCTCGGCTTGGTCCGCCTCAATGATGGCGGCAATTTCTGCGGCATCCACACTAAGAGCATTCAACCGATCGATTGCATGATGTAAGCAGTCTGGCAATGAAGTTTGGAAATCTGGATGTTCAGGTGACTTGCCACTGGAACTATACACTGCTGCGGCGGCTGCCGCACCTGCTTCCTGAATCCAACACTTCCAGCGCAAGCCTTTCATTGCTGCCTCTTCTGGAAAGCCAGTGCCAAAGTGGAGCTCGACCAAAGCCACGCCGTGAGGTTCAGCGTGTGTTTCATAGGGGTGATTCCTGTCAGCGCGGTCGCTCACGCTCGCGGGCGCAAATTCCAGCCACTTGTACTTTAAATCGATCTCGGATGGCACTCCGGTGTTCACAGGATCATCGACGTGCAACAGGCCCGACTTGACTTGAGACGTATCCAATTTATAACGGCACACCTTCTCTTTGGCTGCATCTCGCATGCTTAGTAGCTGGCTCACACTTACACGCAATCGCCCCAGCAGCCCCACAAAATTCCGTTGGAAGAAGCCTTGGTCATTGTCCATCACATCCACCTGAACTTCTTGCTCTCTGTTATGCACAATGAAATACGCCGTATCCGTCTCTGGCCAGTCTGGGTTCGTGGTGTTTCTCACCGTACTGGTGCAAAGCGAAGTGCCACCGAGCCGCACCACACAGTACGGGTTCGAGGTAAAACTGCGAACGGCTCCCATCTTCCAGTTTGCCCCGGCCAAGTTGATGCCTCGGCAAACATGCACCTTTAACACTCCGATGGGTTCTCTGGTGCAAGCCGCCAGGCTGAGCATTCGCTCGTCACTGGTCACTTGTATACACTTGAAGTTTGGAAGGACCAAGGTCGAAAATAGCCCGTCCACAGCAGCTTGAACTCTCTTGGCCAAACCCGGCATGGGAGCATCCACAATGCCTGAGAATTGCAGCTCCAGCTTCGGCTGCGCCGCGAAATAGATGATCACAGCACCTACAATCGGCCACGTGTCAAGCAATGGCTTGAGCTCCAAACACAATTTTCCAAAGAAATCCAAGCGCTTCACACCCAGTGAAAGAGAACCGGTGGACCCTGCGGTCAGCAGTATATCCACAGCACTGGAATAACGTGTCTCCAGCTCTAAGAGCACGTGACTCTCTGAATGTCTGCGGACCTCAATGGGGCCAAAGGACGGCACTCCGTTCCCCAAGGAGAAGCGTGCGAAGTGGAGGCTGAAAGGAGTACCGTCGCGCAGCTTGCTGGTCAGTTCATTCTTGATAAAGTTCTCGAGCGCAGTGGCGGCATTTGGCCATAATCCTTTCAGCAGGCTGTTGACCCAAATGAGGCTGCTTGTCTCACAACCTTCCTCATCATCAACACTGGCCATGTGCTTTACGGGGGAGACCAACTTGAGCCAACGACCATGATCAGTCACAAGCCAAACTTTGGGCGTTGTAGTGTTTGAAGGCCATTCTCCTCCTGCGCAGCGGGTGTGGAACTGGCTCTTTTTTTGTCCGCACCACATGGTCTTTGCCATATTGTGAAGTGCATTTTGCCAAAACGTAGTGACTCCGAAAACAGCCTCATGCTGCCAAAGCTGCAGGATAGCTGGTGCTTCAAGCTGTTCCCATATTCAAGAAAGGACCATTCAAAATCAAGTATCTGGCTCTCTATAAACCTTTCAACCATCTTGCCAAAAGGATATCAAAAATCAGAATGGTCTCTTTATGAGCAACGTACCTGCAGTAGCCTTCTCAAATGCATTGACATCCACAAATTGAGCAGCTAGGTCTGTACACGGGACCAGCGGATCACTTCGGCCCCGCTCATACAAACCCGCGTCGCACGGTTCTTTGACCTGTCGATGGATCAACTTATTAAGAACATGCTTCGCAAAAGCATGGTGACGCCAAATGTTAAAAACTACCATATGAAGCCGCATGCAAATGAAAGCTAAGGCAACACCAAATGACTCGACCTATATATATATAATTATATATATATATATATTAAGCTTCCGATTCTAAGGCTTCTGGAGTCGTGATTGCTTCGACGAGCGCCACTCAAAAAGCATGCGGCCTTCTGTGCGGCAAGCCGACAGGCTCCAACCATACGCAACCTCGCACTGCTCATGCAGCGCAGTTTTCTTTGTGAAGACTTTTGGTGCCACTGGATCTATCCTGTCTGGTGCGACCAGTTTGCTTGAAGCGTACATCCGAGGCCGCCACAAAGAATGTAAGCGCTTAGGTGCGGCGAGATGTGTCTTAGCCGCATGCAATTGAAAGGGAGAAGTGACTCGGGGGAAAGGGTGACTTTTGAGAGTGGCTGGTGGATTAGGATCCGCACAAGTCCGGATTCCGCCAGACGTGTTCACGCTCGCTGCCTTGGCATGAGAGGGAAACTACTCCTTCCGGCTGTCCAACCGTCCACTTTGACCACATGTCCAGAAACGAAACCTGAGCTCTCGACTGGGGTCGTTCGGACAACCGGCTCAGAAGGCATTGTCGTCACTGGTGCCGCCTGCTGGCCGCGCAAAGTCTCAAGCTGTGCAAACTCATTCTTGTCCAGGACGCCATCACCATTCACATCAAGTGCATCAAAAAGCGATGCCGCAGCTGTTCTGGGCATTAGTGGTGCCACTCTGGTCACTGGTGCTTGCACCTGAGGCTGAGGTGCCTGCGGAAGGTATGTGTATGAAGTGTATGTAGTCACTGGAGCACGTGCAGGTGTTGGAGGCGTATAGACAGGCGCAGCTGTGCGCGTGACTGGAGCAAGTGCAGGCAAAGGTGTTGCAACAGCAGCTGAAGAGGCTCTGCTAGGCACGGACACCACCGGCGGTGGAGTGGGTACCGGTGGTGCCTCAGCCTTTCTCTGCGGCATCGGCACGCGAGGCCCCTTGGCTTTGGGAGATGTTTCTGGCTCCAACAACGAGGTCTCATCCTCTGATGGCTCTTCCACATCTTCAACGTCCACTGCGCGTTTTGCTCCATTCTTATCAGTCTTGGACCTCAGAACGCTTGAACGTTGTTCTCCACAAACCCTTGCATTGCACACAAAACAAGTGACCAAAAGACCACACACAAAAAAGAAAGTAGTGGATAACTTAGCCCAAGTCACGGGCCACAACAGAAACAAAGAATCAATGAGACGAGAGCAAGCACAGCTCCAAGCAAAATCCAAAGAAGAGTCTGGGAGAAGCCATAATTGGGTGACTCATCCTCAATTGCCCAACAGCCAATCAGGGAAGTTCAGCTTATGTTCGCACAATTGTTCTACTTGTCTGCGAGGCCCCGGGCATGCAAACTTGAACAAGCATATGTCGAGCTGCACCGCCAAAACAAATCAAGCTAAGGCTCTGTGAGCACGACGATGGTCTCGTTGCCCGAGTCCGCTGCTACGGCTACACCCGCGCTACTGGCACCAGCTCTGGCCTTCCAAAGCGTCACTGGTAATGAAAAAAGAGCTACAGTACAAGTGCGCGCTCTCTCTCTCTCTCTCTCTCTCTCTCTCCTGTTCACTGTATTTATTAGCGTGCGTACAGGTACATCAATGCGTGGCTTGCTACTTTTCAGTGTCACACACCTGTCATACCCTCTGCATCAGCCTACACGAGAGTGATTGACACTTACTATGCAGAACGCCACAACAGCGATCATATTCAAACACCCGGCCATCACAACTGCCACAGTCGAGTTCTCTTCCGAGCTTGTGGTGGTGGTGGGGGTCGTCGTCGGCGTCGTTGCTATCTCCCTGCACATGTTTGGCTCTGGGACTCTGGGGCTTGGTAGTTCCAGTTCCTCTTTATGAATTACTGTCTGAATCTACTGGGACCTTGTACATACAGCATGATGTTGCCTTGTAACATATTATCACTATCCTACCATTCCGTGTCCATAGCCATGTTGCCATGTTGTTGCCTTCCATTTACATCACCCGCCAAGGGCACCGGAAGAAAAAAACGCTCCGAACACGCTCCTCCAATTTGGCGCCGTGAAGGCTCCGGACACTTCGGCCCTTTCGGCGGCTTCAGTGCCCAGGCGAGCCGCCTGTGCGGGTGGAACCATCGACGGGTCAGAAAGACGGTCCGTGTCAAACCGGTTGGTGGAAAAGACGCTGGAAGGTGCACCATTGTCCAGCCTCAGTAGCTGACAGTCCTGCGTTGATCCCAGCAAGCCTAGGATGCAAACGTCACTTCAACGCAAAGGTGCTTGCGTTTGTCCTGCTAGCCGGCGCCTGCGTACCTAAACAGTTTAGCTGCATTCAAGTCACGTGGCTGCTTTCCTGGCAGCTTCCACAGCACCAACTGGCGTCATGTGTCCATTGATGGCCGCGCGACCTGCAGCCACTGCCGCATCATCCATCTGCTCCTGCGCCGATTTGCCACCAGCTGCAGCTAAGCGAGCCGCCTCTGCACCTGCTTCTGCAGCATCTCTTTCAGCAGGTGTCTCCTCAAGCGATTCTGCAGCAGGCTGGCTGGCAGTGGCGGCAGCTGCCTCAGATGGTGAGATTGTCACGACGTTGGTGTCGATTTCCTCCTTCGCTCCACCACTCACAGCATTTGCCACAGCACCTGCCAGCGTCTCAGCCTCAGCGGCTGTCACACCTGCCGCGAGTGCGGCTTTCTTGCTGGCGTCGTGAGCACTGGACACTTCTTCGGCAACAGAAACTCCAGGCTTTGCCACAGCTGCTTTGTATGCAGCCTGGCCCGCCGCCATAGCTTCTTCGTATGGAGTCCCTTTGTCGCTCTGCACTCGGGACGCAGCAGCTTTGCCAGCGGCCATTGGATCAGTCGCATCAGGACTAGCAGCTGTCTTCGCAGCCGGGACAGCTTGGTGTGCGATTGCATCCAGCTCCGCTGGTGTCAAGCCAACAGTCGCGGCATTGTCACCAAGTGCACTTCGCACTACTTGGAATTGTTCTTCAGGACTTATCCCAGGACTGGCTGCTGCAGCTGCACCAGCAATGATTAAGGCAAGTTCCTGGCCATGTTTACCACCAGCACCTGCAGCCTTTGCTGCAGCAACCGCTGCAGCCGAAGCTGCCACTTGGTTCTCATCTTTGTTTGCAGCCTTTGCTGCCCGCCTGGACCCATCTGCAGCGATTTTCGCGGCCTGCTGAGGCGACAACCCCGAATCTGCGGCAAAGGTTCCGATGGCCGTGGATGCCGCCTCCATCTGTTGCTCGAAGCTCATCCCAGCCGCGGAGGCCGATTCGGCCACTGCGAGGCCAATCTCGGCCGCCTTCTGTTCAGCTGGCATGCTGTCTTGTGCTGCTTCTGTGGCAGCCAAGGCTGCTGCCATGATAGCCAGCTCCTGTTGCTTCAACTGGCTATCCCCATTCTTTTTCGCAGCTTCCTGGGCTCCAGCTGCAGCAATCTGCGCAGCCGATTGGGCCGAAAGGCCTTCGGCCTTTGCGAGCTTTCCAATGGCCATGGCGGCTTCCCGCACTTGCTGCTCCTGTGACATGCCCTTTTCTGCAGCAAGCCTAGCAGCCTCTGCTCCGGCTCCTGCGAGCCTCTCTATGAGTTCAGTGCTTTCGGAGTGGATCGGCACCACACACTCGTGATGCCATGTGGTGAAGGCCAAAGCTCCCTTGCATTCGGTCGGGGTGTCTTCATCATAGCCACGGCGGCAGCAAGCATTGCCAGTACCACAGAATGGGCAACTCCCAGACTTTTGGCCACATTCCCACCAGCAGTCCTTTCCAATGTTGACCAATGATTGGGCTGAGGTTGCTGGTTTCGGCGCAGCAGCGCCTGCCTTGACCAGGCCATTCACAGGAGCAATGCACTCATGATGCCAGGTCTGGAACCGAATGTCTCCTTGGCACTCGCTTGGTCCATCCTTCTCCCCTTCTCGGCAGCAAGCATTTCCAGCACCGCAAAAGCCACAATATCCGCTCTTCTGTTGGCATTCCCACCAACAATCCTTGCCATAGTTGGCCACCATCCCGCCAAAAGCTTTCGCTCCGGTTTCCGGTGGCTTGGCTCCAACCACGGCCTCCAGCAAGGCAGAATGAGATCATCGCAAGAACAAGATATGGACAGGTTTAGCACAAACACAAAGCAAACAAATGAGCCTTAAATGAGCAAATATATTACACAAAAGTCATATTGTGCAATTCTTTTCGTTCAAGCACGGGCTATCCACTGCTGAAAGTGTGGAATGTAATTGCTCGCTCCTTCTCAAGGTCGATCACATCAGATCGTGGTGGCAAAGGAAGCGACACTGAGTGTCCTGACTGGCAGCCTGCCAAAAAATGTGCCGAAGCAGACCCATCCCATCCCATCCCATCACTCGCATGAATGTTCCCAATTGCAACGAATGCCTACACGATGTGACACACTCTGGGGTAGAACTGGCAATCACCCTCTCTGTGCCTGCCATG